AAACATTTTCAATCATGAAATTTTTTGAGTTGTCAATTATACCTGATCCAACCACCTTCCTAGTGATGCTATCTCAAAGTATTACCTTACCCCCTACCTTGGTCTCTAGCATGATGAATTGCTTTATATCTATAGTCATGTGCCTTGAACATCCACTATCTTATTACCACATACTCTCACTAGGCCTTTTGTGTGATCACCCCTACAAAATCATCAAGGGTTAGATTTAGGAACCTAAACAAAATTTTGTTCCACCTTATAAATTAAAGAATGAGATGCCTGCATGGTATGGCATGGTTTATGCAATTTTAGTCTCCTCTCCAAATGTGTTCTGTGGTTGATTGTACAAGTGTGGGAGATAAGCCCAGGCATGCAATAAGAAAAATATCTAACCCCTGGGAATGGATTTGCAAGTCTATTTGGATTATGATACCTCTTCCTACGTTTAGATGATACATGCTGTGATAATGATTTATGAAATTTTGTAAGTGTAGGTGATGGTTTATTCTCTTTAAAAGTAGTTAGTTCCACTTACAAAAATTTGTTTACACTTTCAAGAATTAAATTATCAATTTATAATGCATGCACCTATCATAAGCTTCATCTAAACATGCCTTTAATTCCTTAAATGAATTTTCTAAATCAATACAAAATGCTTTTAAGGAATCATACTTATCAGCTAAATTAAGATGCCTTTTATTTAATACATCAAATTCATCAAGTAAGACAATATAATTGTTATCCAAGGTAGAGTAGTCTTTCCTAAGGCTTTCATGCTCTTTTTGCAAGTTTAAAAAAATTTATTTAAATCTTTCATACATTTTCTTAAGCTTCATATATACATTATGAATTTTTTCATAAACTTCAAATAGTTAATCATAGGAAAGTTCATATGCCTCCTCTTGATCATAATGATCAAGATGGTTATCTGCCATTTAGCACAAGTTGGTTTCCTCTTCAACTTTTATCTCAGATGACTCTGAAGCGAAGTCTGCCCAAAAATCCTTTGAGTACGTTGTTTGCTCATTTAGAATTTGTTTTTTTTCTTCACCCTTTTCCTTGATTGGGTGATCTTTAAGATTTGGGTAATCTGTCTTCATATGCCTTGGTTTCATGTATTAAAAACAGATGACATCAGAAGAAGTTTTGGAATTTTTATTAGGTTTACCTTTATTCTATTACTGATGATATCTTTACTTTTTCTTCAAAAAGCTTTTGAATTGTCTTTTTAATAGTGCAATGTCATCATCACCTTTAGATAAAGAATTGTCATTTTTAAAATCATTAGCCTTTAAAGCAACTATTTTCTCTTTTCTTTTCTCACCTAAATCAATCTGTCTTTGACTCACTCCTTGCTCGTAAGCAATGAGTGATCTAAGTAAGTTATCAATAAAATAAAAATTCAGATTATTGGATTTAATAATAATAGTGATTTTGGCATCATATGAACTAGGTAGACAACACAAAATTATATTAACCTTTTCAGAATTAGTAAGTTCTCTACCTGATGCATGCTGGAAAGTGACAATTTGGGTGAACCTAGTATATATTTAGAAATAGCCTCAATAGGTTTCATACGGAACAGTTCAAATTCATGGAGTAGAATGTTCAACCTAGATTACTTTACTTCATTTGTTTTTTCATAGATTATGCAGAGTTTATACCAAATTTCTTTTTCAGTTGTGCAAGTAGAAACACACATGTAATCTTCAAATTTTAATGTACAAAAAAAATAGTTTAAACATTTTGCATTCAGTTGGGCAAAATATCTATCATCTTACTCCATTCAATATATATATATATA